ATCGTGCCTCATGTATGAATGCATGTATGTAGCTGAGTTGTGAATGAAGCTTACAAATATGCATGTAAGTATGTATATGAAAAAAATAGCAAGTTATACTTGTATATGTATGTACGTCTTTATTTTTATAATCGTTACATTTTATTCTATGAGAATTCATTCAATAAATGAACATCTGCGCCGTACAAAAATATGTTTCTTGATTATCTCATTCCTTCACTGCCGATTCGCAAGAGCTAAAGGTAAGTTTTGTCTGTGATATAGAACTACAAGCAATATTATATTGAGGTGATAAACCTTGTTCTTTTTGACACTACCAAACAGGTATATTGATTGTATTCTGTAAGTTTTTGCATGTAGGTTGAGAATATATTTAGAAGATAATTCTTATTTGAATATTTATTACCAAAACTGAGACTAACTTTAAAAGGAAATTTTAGAAAATAAAATGGAAATTAAATTATTTTAGAGAACTTAGTAAGATGTTTTAGTGAACCCACATGAATAAGTTGTGTGGATTCTTAAATACCAAAACATTAAAAATCATGTTCAGTAAACATTTCTGTATATGCTGCCATACTTTTTCAGATCTAATCAATAACTTCCAAAGAATATTTTCATGTCTCTTCACTTTAATATACTCGCTTAGCGGTACAAAGTCTGCTGCGCCGCAGGGCACATGTATCAGCCATCAAGCGCAATAAGGCCTGATGAATACATGTCCGATGATTAGAATCCCAGGGTACTTTGTTAATCCACAAGGCGACCCTGTGGTTTATGTCAAATACCACGTAATAAGGCGTCTGAACATTGCATATACGTACATATTAAAGGTCCTATTAAAGATACTGTGAGAAAGATCGAAGCCATTCATAAACCAACTGATTGGACTTTATCAGTGTGCTTTACAACTTTTAGCAGATTTTCAGAGTGTGCATCTATGACAAATAAATCGATCATCACTCCTTTGTCAATTTTAAAGCATGTACCTCCTGGAAACACCATGCAAGATTATATTCCCAAAGAAGATTGAATGATGATAATACCCTAAGGGTGGTATTATCACGTGCGAAGCGAATGGATTGGCGGACGCAACTTAAATATGCATTAAGAGTGTTCGCTTTTACCAGCTTGTGCAAGTTCCTTGCATCGCGAACACTTTTAATGCCTTCTGTGCCTTTTAATTTGGTTCGCCAAATCGTTCGCTTCGCCAAAATCATTCGCTTCGCAAGTGATAATACCACCCTTAGAACGAGTTGGACATAGTCAAAAGCATTAAATAAATTATGGGTTAAAAGACTAAGAACGCGCTTTAGGGTCGTTTTTACAATCGCGAGTTAACTCTCATTCGGCAGTTAACTACAGGTGGTTAAGAAGGTGGTCTTAGGAGGAAGACCGTTTTGAAAAATATTGAAATGTCGGCTGAAATAAATGTCAAACGCAGTTGCAATATTTGACCTATTGGACTGGATTTGTATGTACCGATGAAAATATACTTCCACACTGGCGTTGCCAAATGTCCAGTATTTGCCGGGATGTCCCGGATTTTGCGTTAAATTTGAAATGATCCGTCGGGACAAGATTTTTCCCGAATTTTCGACAATTTCATTAATCATTTCAACCTGTAAACTTCTACTCAACATGGTTATGCTTTAACGCGGCTATTGTGAGTATTTCATTACTTGGGCTCGGAATCGCATGCATTAAAAAATCAAAAATATGCGCATGTAATATGCACGCAAAATTCAAAAATATGCGCTATAAACAAGTAAAATATACAATTAAAAATATTTTCCTAATACAAATACATACTAATAATGGCACAAAAATAAAAAACACATGTATTTTAACAAGAAAATAACTAAAACAACGCACTTCAAAATACAATACATATTTATGTATAAAATTAGTTTATAAACGAACTGTCAGTAACAATCTTGTGTAAATAGAAACATTCACAGTTTAATACATAGTTTGAGAAAGTTTGCCATTTTGGTTCCACAACTCCTGCAACCTACAGCCATTTGGCGGCTTTAATGAATTTCAGTACGTCATAAAGAGAGAGACAGCTGCACTCTTAAACATTCTGCAGAGGGAATGCAGAGGGTCTTTAGCCTCATCCTTGCGAGGGCTTGACACTCGCACAGGAAGTGTTCGCCAGTCTCTTTTGAGCTAGGGTCATCGCAACTACCTTTTGAAGGGTAATGCATGTACTTCAACGGGCCAGTGCCCTGTGAATACTGCAGTAAGTTTGTAGGTATCTTCATTGCTCATTCCTAAGAGAGCTTTGGTTCTAAGTGGGTGGTAGGACACCCTGCTTGGCCTGCGAGTGATTTCGGTAATTGATGCCTTTATCTCCCTGAGCGAGGCGCTCCCGTCCACCGCTGCCTCGTTTCCATAAATGTCCCTATGTCCCAGGACCCATATTAGGGTAATTTCGTATTGATCAGAAACATAGGCCAGTTCTCTCTTACAGTCTTCCACTAGTTGAGACCTAACAGAGGTAGAAGAGAGTGCCTCAAGGGCAATTTTTTTTGTAAAGGGGAATTTTTTTGTCAAGAGATTACTCACTAAATTTAAATGGTTATAAATCAAAAAATACACTGACTGAAAAAAATGTTAGAATTAAAAAAAAACGTGCTAAATTTAATAAAATACGCATATGAAAGAGCACCAACCCAACTCGTTATAATTTTGAGTATGTACGTTATAAAATATGTCGTTGTGAAGTGCACAGATGCTTTTTCGTAACTACGAAGAAAAAAAAAATGTATTTTATGTTTCGTCTGATAGTAATTGAACCCGGACCCTTTTGGCAGCAACCAATTGTATCAAGCGTCTTTGCACACTCAGCCACCGCCATACATGTAAACGTGTTTTCAAATGTTGAGTTTGAATCATTTTTACAGATAAACATGTACCATATGTGTGTGTATGTGTTGTCACCGCTGTGCATGCTTTGTATACATATACATACTTTCTTAATTATACAAGAAAAAGCATCCGAGACGTGCAAAACGCCATGCGTGCCGTGAAAAATGCTTCATTTTAATACGGGCGTATTTGAATTGAATATTTCCATTATACGTAGTGTATGTATAATGGAAATATTCAATTTTGAACACCTTTCACTTGATTTCAATACGAACATTTTTAAACGGTAATCAAATAAAAAAATATCATTTTTACAACGCGTTTTTTTCTCAGTGTATGCAAAAAACATGTATTTATTTTAAAACATACTAAAATATGCGCAATAAATATGCAAAATCTGGTATTTTTCGCAAAATCATGCACTTACTGCAAAATATGCACTAACGATTGAATGCCATTTTAAAGGAAATTTCATGATTCGTTAAGATAACTTAACCATTTCCATTTGAAGATGCCCAATAAAAACATGCATTCGCATGAGATTCCGAGCCCTAATCATTACCAAGCATACTTGCATGCACCTCTGTAAGAAAAAATAGCTAAAAATTACCGTTGAGTTTTTCTATTTTTTTTGTGGAGGGTGTTGCGAGTTTCTTCCATTTAACGCATGAACAATACTGACTTTTATATGGAAGAAAAACGCAACACTCTCCACAAAAACAATTTTAAGAAATCAATGGTAATTGTTAGCGACTTGAAACTTGCACTTTATTGTACTATAATTGAATGGGCATACTCTTTTTAGGAAATCTAATTAAAAAAATTTTAATTTTGATGAACATTTTTTTAAGTTTGATTAGTTTTTGTGAGCTTTTTGCAGGATTTGAAACTTTTATTTATGTGGTATCTGTTATAGATCGTCCCATATTTTAAATGAAAATTATTAACAATAAATAAATAAAGATAAGATGCCAACAGTATGACTTTGAATTTTGCTGATATTATTTTGGCCGAAACCGTATCTCTTATTTTGTTTTTATGGTTTTGTCAATTACATGTCTACGTACATACATACATATTTTTGTATACATTGAAAAGTGTTGTCATGAAATAAACGAAATTTATCATAAGCATATAACTAATCTGAACTTTAATTCGTTGAAATGGATCACTTTTGTTAATATGTATATGGTTAGTAGTTGGGCTTTTAAACCAACTCCTTTATTTATTATATATTACATTTTTGTAAATCCCGTATTTTTGGGAGAAACTATGCGTTTGTCCCGTATGGCTGGAAAAAAATCTGGCAACACTATTCCACACCCATGAAAGCAAAAGAAGCAACGACACAATGGGAGGAGTAAGAGCAGAATGGCCGGTCTTCACGCGGTATGTGTAACTAATGAAACTTCGCAAAAGAGGAAAGAAGGTTTTTGATATTTTTGTCTATATTAACATTGATATATTTATAAATATCGTTTTCGATATAAATTTTTAGACCAATAATGTGACAAATTTGTTGATCCGACGTCTTTCTTCATAAGTCTGCCCATTATCGCCAACTAAGTTAAAGAATTTGAGGAATAATTGTGTTCAAATAACATTGTGCCTCTGCAGGAATTGAGTCTATTGCAAAATTATATGGAATATTAACTTATTTCTTACTAAGTGCACAAGTAAATTAGCCGTGTTATGCTATCTCGGGTAAAAGCGAGCCCCATGACCCATTTCGAAAAATACTACTCAATTCGCCCGACGAAACAATAAAAATCGTTACAAAAAAAAAAAACAATTAATATTAGAAAAATACATATTTTGTTTTATCAACCTAAGCTACCAATTTGCCGACTAGACAATCAAAATCATTTAAAAATACTAAAAAGGGGAGTTAGTAATTAATATTAAAAAATATATATGTACATACATATATTTTGTTTCATCAACCTAAAAACTGTACCATAAATGATATGGAGTTTAAATTGTTATTGCAATGAACAATATTAAAAGGAAGTGAAATAATTACCCAATAAAGGAAATATGTACATATGTACATGTTAAGCATTAAATTGAGCACAAATTATATTAAAAAAAGATAGCAAAATATATAATAAAATAAATTATTGTACCTGTGTACGTTGAATTAATCGAGCTTAAGTTGTCATCGCTTTCACGACTCATGCTTTTCGTATCTGTAAAATAAACGAAATAAAAATGTGAAAGGGCAAAGCGTAAGCAAAGGTTAAAATGCAAACTAAATAAATATTGTAACACATGCAAGTAAAATAATTTTCAAGCAAACCAAGAACGGCTAAAATCATTAATAACAAAATTCTCAAATATAATAGATGTTTAATACGAAAATTATCGATACAAATAGCGAATAAACAAACATTTCTGCTATGCTTTGGAGGGTTTTTCGCAGAAATTAGAGTAATTAGAGTAAGGTTGGAGTAGAAAATGACACACAGAATAGGAAAGTGATACAATTTAAAAAATATAGTTCAATTTGAGTGTTTACATATCGATGGTCCTCTGCAATAACGGCACAACCCAAAGTTTCATGTTTTTGAGTGATATAGCGGATTGGGTTTATAAATAACCATATTTGTACTTTCCTCTTATTAGCTCGGGATGTAACTATATAATATTGATGCGCCTAAAAGATGCAGCGATTTCTATTCTCAAGTTACATACCTGATCACAGTACGAATGACAATTATAATAGGGAGGTTTTAGTTTTTTAAACTATAATTTTATTATTCTGTAACAAATCAACATAGGCTTAGTTGTTACCAATCCGGCAGAAGCGCACTTTTGCCATTTGTCATAAAACCGAAGTAGCCAACCCTTACTACTGAACGGCGGCAGACGGAATTTTTTTCGTTTAACTACTTACCGAGTTGTTACTTATATCGTATTTTTGCAGTCCAACACTTACTAGATCTTTAGAAAAAGTCATAATTTGAAAGCTTACAAATTTTTCCTACAGAATTACTGCAAATAATCCGGAATAATTACGAAACACAAAATCTTTAGTTGGCTCTACTGAAATATATATTTTTGAGTTGTGTCGTTATTGCAGAGGGCCATCGATATTTTGGCTAAAAATCTTTATATCGTCGGTGATACTACGGTCTATATCTATTAGTACCCTTGACACTTGAAATAGATGGTCTCTTACTTGCACCGGAATGCATCTGCAAATCATTGCATCCTAATAAACGAATGACAAAACTGCATACCTTTGGCTGATGAAGATGAACGATTGCCAGATTCGATCAGATATAGATAACACAGGCCAACAAAAATGGGAAACAATTTTGTAACCTAAAATTTTAAAGCTGTTTTTGATAGACTTTTTCATGGTGATTACGAATCCGTAAGTAAAAAGTTTCCATCACGTCCAGATTTTGAGAAAAGCGTGGTCAAAGTATCGAAAAATCGCGTTGTATGCAACATTTGAGAAGCTCTAGCAAAAAAACAAAAGGTGATAGAACCCTACGATTCCTTAAATTAAAGCCAGAACTCTCGACTACTATCCCTGACAATACCATTCGTGCACTTTGACTTGATGGTCTTTTATAGTCACTTATAGCTACGGTGACCAACCGTTGTTTTTTGCAGGACCGTACTGTTTTTCAAAAGTCGGTCCTGCGTAGTTTTTCAAACTTAAAAAACCTGAAAATGTACTGATTTTTTCCAAGTGCCCTGCATTTGTCCCGCATTATATTCGTTATTTTAAAATTATCGGACAATGGATGGATTTTTTCAAAAAAGTGTTTTTGGTACTTTTCGTAGCTTTTCTTCAATATCTCTCTTACCAAAATATATAACTTGTGGCGACTTCAATGAAAATTATTAGTGCTACTGGCGACCATTTGCATTTTGTCGTCATAGTCGAAAAAAGTGAGATTTTCAATCAAATACGCAGTTTCATTTGATTATTTTTTTTTCATTATTTTAAAAATTCGATAAAGAAGATATCTCATTACAGTAAATTTTGAGCCAAAGATAATGAAAATCGAATTAGATATGTAGATGCTATGGAGCGCAATCTGCACAAATTATATAT